TTAGCCTCAGTAGATAGAAATGTATTCGAACTGGTGATGCAATCATTAGGAAGTTATGCTTAAACCAGTGGGTTACAGTTGTACACGAAGCCTTTATTACAGGAAGATATAAATGATTATAAGTAGGAAGAATTAAGTTCGGAAGTATGCAGGTTATGTACAGATAGGCGTACATTACTGAAACACAGCAATGGACTAAATCGATCATTCCATGGGCATAAACGTCTTGATGATTAATAACTATCCATACAGTAAGTAGTAGCAACCAAAACTTAACAGATTTTGTATTGCCGCCATCATCTGGACATTAAGACTTTTCTACCTTTATATTAGTAGTTGCGAGAAGCAGGAAGTAATGAACATAAGAAGTTCATTTAGTTGTTGATGCTTAGCTGGAAGTCGGTTATACGATGAGCCTATTACAAGTAGAATGTGTCGCGTGTGTGTGTACAAGTTATCAGACACTAGAAACTCTCTTCTGTCTTCAAGTCACAAACAAAATGTTAAACAGTCACATACCAGTAACAAGTGCATAACTTTCCTTTTAATCAGACTCTTATAATCAGTAGTTGAGGATCACATGAACGCATAGACAATTAAGGTATGTTTTGTTAGGATGAAAATAATGGTCATTACAGAGCATGAAAGCACTGAATTGGTTTCTTATTCCCCGTACAATCTTAATGAAATGAGAAATCGACAGATTCCACAAAGTGGTGTTATCAGTAAATATCGCAAATGATAAAAGTTAGATTAGTATAAAAGAAACGGATGAGCGTAAGCTGTGTTTAAATATCTAAGGTGACCTGATCAGGAGTGATATCTAGAAAAAAGCTCAAGAAGTGCACTAAATTAAACGGTAGAAATGAGCCGAAGAAGGTGAAATAATTATTTCAAAGATGACAGGATGATTTTTTTTAAACAAAAGCATTTACTTATGACGAAATTAAAACTAGCAACAACAACAAAATGTGACAGTTAAGTAACCTATGGTTTAATACACGAAATGGTACAAAACTGAATGATTTCAGAATAGGGCACGTGATTTGGAGATAGAGAGAGGGAGAGAGAATGGGTGGAGAGGAGAACAGTGAGTGTGCATAAAAGATTTCAGTGACAGAATGTTAGTTGGAAAAAAGAATAATACGGAAAAGGTCAACGAGATAATCTGTTTCTGATAAAAACATACCAACTACAGATACAGATGTAGGAGCAAAAACAGGATTAGATCGGCAAAGCTAAGTGAAACGAAAGCATTTTTGTTTAAAAAGAAGCGAATACATACTTGACGAAAGTGAAATATCTGCTATGACACACTAGTAGATAGAATATGTTAGTGTAAGCAAGAGAAAAAATCCAACGGTAATTGTAATGAAATAAGGAAAGATCTCTACTGCGTTTATATATCTGGAATTACAAATATGATACACGATATATGATATCTATAGGCTTCCTTCTTCTGGAAATAAACATTCTGAATTGTAAAATCGAACCTTTTCCCCCTTAGTCCACGTTCCGTGTTTTCACTTTTAATTCAGCGGTTAAAATTATTTACAATTTAACAGTACAATACAGAATGTTTCGTCTGTCTTGAGACTTATCAGGAGTGTGTCCGCATCTTCATGTTCTGAAAGTAAACCCAAATTCACCGTTCATAAAGCATAGGTGTCCCTCATTCGGCTACTGAGTAACCATGAGTAACTCGTGTTCAGTGGGTTCTACTTGTCACATAAATAACTCGTCAAACTTTATCGACACATTTTGATAGTACTCATAGTTAATTCTAAAGATCTTAACACCTACTACTTACGGAAAGCATCAGCAGTAAAGTGAATACTTAATATGCTATACTCAAAACGATGGAATAGATCTAAATTTCTTTAAAATTATCACATAAAAGGACAGTGCGATGAGAAACGCTTTGCGTCTGTTTCAGGTTCTCAAGTGGTAGGAATGAAAATGACATAAAACGGTGTCGCGTCACTTCACATTGCACAAGGTGGTCGACAGCCTTCTATTGGTGCTAACGACGAAAGACCACGTAGGCGCATTGTTTACCTACTGGTGACTGACTTATGTATATAGCCCAGTCCTATATGAGGTCAGTATTGGAGTGAGGAATTAAGTGGCTAAGTTTCTTGCTTCAGCACTGAGTGACGTAATTTCGAATCACCAAGGGGACATCAGTTTCCTCACGGTAGCAGATACGCTTTGCTGATGAGCTCCAATATCTCCCAATATCTGACTGTAAATGGCTACCATGAAGTATCTAGATCTGTCAATGTATGACAAGGTGTCTTATTTTGTATGGCCAACGAAAAATGCTGAATATTTCACGATTGCCACCAAAAGGCATCCATAAAACTGAAGAGACTACAGAATCGAACATAGTGGCATCAAAAAGATCGGTGGCCTGTCTAGACCTTGGGCTACCAACAATTTTCTACCGAATATATTTCATCGAATCCTTCCCTTCTGTTTATTTTAATCTTTTATGTACATCTTTTAAATGTATCTCTCGCATCTTTTTAAGACGTTTTCGAATTGTCGTTTCTCAGGCTAATAAGGAAACAAAGAAAAAATGTTACACCTGATGGAAATGGACTTATGAATGCTCAAAATACAGCAAAGTACTATTCCTAAGATACCTACGTCGAATCGCCGATTTTTGTACTGGCTGATTAAACTACCACCAATCGAGTTACACCCGATTTTGTATTCATTCTAGAGTCCAGGTCAGACTCTGTCATACCAACTGCCTGTTTCACATTAGTCCCATTTAATAGTGTTGTCATTTTTAACACTATTCAGATATAGTACTTATTTCTTTTAAAAATATTGTACAGGGAGCGTATTTGTTGAAATATTACCTGCTGAAAATTCAATAATGTATCACATATGTTGCTTAGAATAAAACGGTTATTATTATCATTATTAATAATGCACACATAACTTGGCTTCATTCAAACCTTGAAACTTCTGTTATCGTGCATCTGCATTCTCTTTTCATATTAACTTATAAGACTTTTGTGACCACCAGCATCACTATGTTAATTAGGCTTTCTTTCCTTTTGTTGATTATGAACTTTCAGTGTTAGTGTGAGGTGCGAAAACACAGTTAACATACAATGATGCCAACACCTATATTAGTTAAATCTGTATGTTCCTGTGAACAGAAAACTGTATACGAAATCAATCAACAGTTTCTCACTATTTCAAGGTATTTCAGAATTTTCAGAAGTAAAAAAAAGACTTCAGGTTTCATAAAAATAGGTGTAATTGATCTATACGCTGAAAATATGTGCCACAAAATGAAGATAACCTTTGAATATAATAATAAAATTTGGGCACTATCGTAGAATATAATTCCCTTATAGTTCTTTTTATAGATGTATCACACAGTGAAACAGTGTTCTTAACTAATAACTTTTCCCGAGATGAGTTTACTACTCACAATCAAATCAAGGTAATCACACAACTTTCTCGTCTAGTTTTATTGTTTTTTTTTAATACTTTGATTTAATTGGTAGCGAAGTTTTCCACATCATAGCATCATTGCTATTACATGTATCAGGTATCGATTCGGTAAATTAAGCTTCAGTTATCAATCCCTCTCAACCTACCCAGGTTGTTTTCTAAAAATATTACTCTATCACTACTTATTGTACGATTGTGGGTAACAGCATGTAGGACTACGGTTGAGCTCTTTTCTAGGTTTCTTGTCTTATTAAGGCTCAACATTCTGTTTATTTAGATTCCTGTTCTTCTGACCTAATTTCATCCCAGTCGGGTAGTTTGACTTATGCATTTGGGCTCATTGGTCAAATTCTTTTGTTTGATAGTTTCGATAGGACCTTTTAACTGGAGTGACTTTAAAGGATACCCCAGAAACAATTGAAATGACCAGTCAGGTTTCTCTATTTTACGAAAATATTACCTTCTTACACAAAATAGAGAAATCTGATCGGCTATCTCAGAGGTTGCTAGGGCAGCCTTTAGAGTTGCTCTCTACCTGACAAAGTTTGTCTTTGAGTTTGTAGGTTTAAGTACCACTTTAATCCAACCTGATTCAAAACCCTGTGTGAGGCTTCAGATCTCCCTTCTTTAAATGGTATGATCATGATGACTTCAAAATCCTTCTCTATGGTTTCATTATTAACAATGTATCTGTAGGATAACATCTGACCACAAGTGGTCAAGTCGTTGACATTTTCAGAACAGAGGGTGATTTTTTGTAAAGGCTGAATGAAACTTTTCATTACACCTGAGATTGAATATCCGGTTAATGAAGCCTGCTTCGAATTCATTTATTCACCCACATTGATATCGAGAATAAATTTTGCTTAACATGCTAGAGATACTTCACATTATATGTATGCTTGTGGTGAATGAGAAAATCAGAATTCTTATCTAAACAAAGGCATATGGTATCAGTGTCCTACCAAGTGGACCGCGAAACCCAACCATTAACCACTAATTATCGACTTTATTTCAGTGGACGTTTCTAATTACAGTCTGAATATGACTGATAGACAAACAACTTTGAAGATAATTCACTAAACTAACTATATCTACTCGAATCGGGTAAATAGAGAAAGTCTAAAAGGGCAAATTAGATTAGTATACATTAAAGTCAAGAAGCAGAACTAATGTTTTCCCAGTGCATATTTGTGGGATTTTATAGGGGGGAAAAAGCCGCTAACTGCATACTAGGTGATTAAAAATGAGGAATGCATTGACCTTTACTTCTGTAATTCATCAATATACATTTTAGTGCGATTTAATGCGCCTGAATAGAAGAGTAACCAAAGTGAAGTATCAAAGCACGGTTAAATATGTGAAAGTAGTAATATTCACATTAGACAAAAATATTACAGTAGGTAAAGTGTGAATGTAACAAAATATACATATACGTGTAAATAAGATTAGATTGCACACTGGCATCATATGAAAAATTGAAATGAAAACTGGATTTTGTAGCAAACATAAGAAAAACTTACTTGTTGAATGAACTGTAAGAATTTTCGTAAACCACTGAACCAGATCCTCCACCGCCATTGCCACCACATTCGGAAGGAGATTTATTCACACATGCATCATTCTGCTCTGAATTTAAATTTAGATTTACAGATGGGGAACCAGTAAAATTCAGTGTGGACATTTGTACATTTGAATCACTCAGTAATAATTGACTTTGTTCTAATTGTTGTTGTTGCTGCTGCTGTTGCTGAACAGCTAATAAATTTGCTGGTGATAAATAGGATTGTATAGGAGGTGGAATAGCCGACCCAGGGCGAGATGTACGTCCGTATGTACCAAAACCTTGAATATATGACGCATTTGCTAAACTCTGACCATTAACATTAGCATGTTGCATCAAACTGCTTGCAGCAGCAGCAGCAGCTAGAAATTGTTGCTGTTGTTGCTGCTGCTGGTGTTGTTGCTGCTGCTGACGTAACTGTTGTTCGACCAAACCAACTTGATGCTGAGCTATTAATTTAGCTTGTTGCAACTGTAGTAGTTTATTGGTTTCAGCATTAAGCAGAGCAGCTATGAAAATACATTATAAAATATAAATAAAAGCGTACATTGAAAATGGTTGTGATATTTAACACAATGAATGGTGATAAGAGTGCGTGAAACGGTTGAACGAGTTGACAACTTAACTTACCTGAAAAGATTCATTAGACCTGATTAGTTCTTGGTCCACTGAGTCCTAAAAACTACACAGACGTTTGAAATGCCTTTCACCAAATTGAAACCTTATCCGGTAAAATATTAGAATGTGTATCGAAGTCAGATACACTATATTCTACTATAAGACCGTGAAAAGTAGTCATTGTTCGTCGGAGGTCTGCAAACGATTTCAAGCTGTTGGCCATTGTCACCTCTGTTTGTGGAGTTCGTTCGTGGTGGAGTCAATATATGAAAAGTGTAAAAGCTAGCAAAAACGTATTAAGGAAGGAAGGTGAACTAGCTAATATAAGTTGCAAGCCTTCATCGACAGTGGTAGACTTTAGGAAGATACTCTGGTGGCTCAGTGGCCGATAAAATCTCTGCACGGATACAAAAGGCTCGGTTGACTTTTGCCAACTTACCCCACCTATGGCGCCACCGTGATATCCGATTGTCTATTAAGGGTCGCGTGTACTGCACAGCCGTCCACTCTGTTCTACTCTATGGCTGTGAAATATGGCCATTGAAGGCGGATGACAACAGAAGGCTGGCTTCAGGTGTTTTGTTTGACCACCGTTGCCTTCGTAGTATAAGCCGTATTCCGTGGTGTCACCATGTGAGTAACGCACAAGTCAGGTGTAGAGTTTTAGGGAGTAGAGGTAAATCAGTTGATGAGGTTGTGAACCTTCATCGACTGAGATGGTTGGGACACATGTTACGTATGCCTAGTCACCGATTGCCTCGTCACACAATGTTGGCCGAAGTAGGTCCAGGCTGGAAAAGATCCGAGGTGGCCAGACTAAAACATGTATGAAGTCTCTGACTGTTGGTTTGAGCGATGTTGAGCGATGTAGAGCGATGCAGATTAGCCGGTTGGTGTCCACGCGACAAGAGAAACCCGCGATTGGACACTCTACGTGGCACAGATGTATACACACATTATCCTCATCTTAACGACGCTATACCGAATCTCACCATTTTCCCAGTCTGTCTTTCTCTCTCTCTCTCTCTCTCTCTCTCTCTCTCTCTGAGTACTTTATATGTCTTTTGACTGAATTTTCTTTTCTTCATCTTCCAATTCACTGCCTTTTTACTTGATGTACAGATATGAGCTGTGGCAACTCGGACTGTTACACAGTAATGCCTGGTCCTGTGTTGATTTGGATGATGATGATGATTAGGGAGATACGATCACCTTTAGTTTTGTCTTCCCTGTGCTAACTTCAACACTCATATGCACAGTGACACTGGGTACTATTATGTTGATGGGATGTAATATAAATTCTTCTTATACAAGCAATAGTTGAGTATTTTCATGCAATCAGAATAATGCTTTTTAATATATTAACATTTGTGTGATGATTGTGTTGCTTAAAAGACTTGTTAGTAGTAAGAGAGAATCAATTGGTCCATAACGGGAAGCAATGCAGCCCTTTTCAAAGTATAATCCACTTTTAAATGTTCAGATAGGAAATGAAAACCAATTATCACGGATGTAGAAAATTAATTGGATCGAAAAATTAGATTAAATATTTAAATGGTTAGTATTATTTTCCGGTCACGAAAAACAATAATTTCAGAGAGATGCTGAGTCGTGTCAGTTTATAAGCGAATTTCTAGGTTGCTTTTCAGAAGGTAAAACTATAACGAACTGTAGTAGCCATCAAAAGAGAAATAAATGAATGTGCAATTTGGAAGTGATTTACAAACTGTACAGTCCACGTTGACATTTCTCAGCTGTCCAACTGTGGAATCAAATTATGTTTCCGTTGAAAATCATCCAGTCAAGATCACAAGGTGTGATTTCTGATAGAAAAGTGTCATGGTGTAATGAAATATGATTCGGAGTAAGTTGAGTGGTTAGAAACCACTTAGGGTGATCTGTAGATTCCGCCAGCCAGATCAGATTGATCTGAATTTGTCCAGTTAAACTACTAATGAGTCTGGCCCAAAACCGGTGAGACATTCATCTGGTGTTCAAATCACTCTGGTCCGGTTGGAGAAATCTACAGACCCATCTGAGTGGTTTCTAATTATTTAAGTTGCTCATTAGTATATTTCGTTAAATAAATGTTCAAAAACAAACTGAATTTGTGTGTGTGAGAGACAGGAGGTACACACACGCCTGATGGACGGGGAGACATGAAAATGCACTTCGTCACCAAGCCATGCACAAATACAATAAAGACTATTACTAGAAGTTAGTAAAACGATTTGTTAACCATCAGTTCATAGTAATATTGTCACATAATATTATCAGCTAAAACTATCTATAACCACCATTGTGATACTGAAATAAACACTGGACATGTCTTTTTGGATAGTGCTATGAATCAAATAAACAGCCATGATTTGAGCATTTCCACAGAAGTGATCACAACTAAACTCAGACTGCTTTACCAATCGATCTAATTAGATTAATTCTAGTTAGTTAGTTGGAGGCGGTCGAAAGAAAGCCCTGAACTTAGGTTTCGTGTTTGTTGGCACTTATCAGCAAGGCGTACCTGGAACCTTGACGGAACTGATATCCCGCCTGAAATTCGAACAAGCATCACCCAGCGTTGTAATCAGCGACGTTACTGTTGAGCTATTCAGGTAGCGAGTGATCTCCTGTAGGACTCGGTTACATACATTGATTGGTCATGGGAGAACAACCAATCCCTATTGCGACATAACTGAATGTGTTAGCCGCTTTAATGATCAGTTCTTTCTTGAATACAGTGCATAGAAAACAACATCTATAGCCAGACGGTTCGTGATTTAGTATAACGGGCATAATGTAGACATAGATATCTTACTGAATGTATACTAAAATTATGATGGTTTAGAAACAGTCGTCGGATCAGTACGCATAACTATCACAATCAACTGACTTCTTTTTCATAACATCTATATACTTCAAAACATTATTGAACTATTTACAAACTAAGTTTGTTAAGAATCCCATGTAGGTACACACCAACAGACAGATAGATAACCAGCTGGGACTTGGGGAAGGCAAAATTAAATTATTGGGCATACTATATATTTGTATGAACATATCAACTCAGTGTTTCACTTTCAATGTGACGTAACTGCAGAATGCAACACAACATACTGATGAGGAAAAAACAAATTTGAGTGATTGTGATACATGGTTTTCGTACAAGCTGATAGGAAGAAGTTGCACAACAATTTCAACGTTAAGATTTCTCAATCTACTTTTAATTAGGACCAATAGGAAAAAGCTTGTCTATCAGAAGTTCTTGGGAAGTAACTATGCATAATAGACATCAAAATGTACTGAAATCCAGTTCGCCTATCATCGAAAAAGAGTAGTGTCAAACTAGTTTATGTCTGACTACTGATTCCCTGAAAAAAAGAATTCTAGCAGTTTATGAGTAGTATACCTGGTTCAGACCATAAGTATTGAAAGACAAAGTCATTAAATTTGTGTAAAGTGATTCCAAGTTTGAAGGAATGCATGACAATACCAAAACTTAGGCAGGATATAATATCGAGGTGATATTGTGATGTATGTTGAACAAATGTATTTACCCCTTGCCCTTTCAAGCTAAATAATAGTAAAAACATTTGTTATTCAGCTTCGAGTCAGCTCTTAAGTTTGCCAGTTATACTACTGTGTAAACTATAAAGTAAATGGAAAATATGTGCAGAGTATGTTGTTTATTGGTGCCAACAAATCACCATGAGAGCAAATTATTACCAACACATATTCCTGAATGAAGACGGAAGAATGATGTGATAATGTAGGGGGATGAAATAACATATTAGTTAACTAGAAAGTAAAATCACTGCTTTATAATCAATATTTTCTATAGGGACAAATTGTGAGTAGAGAATGCGATCGAATACCTACAACAACAACCACAATAACGACAGACAAATGTGTGCTGCACACAAAGTGAAACTAATACTTCCGGTAACGAAATTCTAGTAATAATAATGGTAATAACAATATGATAGAAGAAAAGTAAACAGAAATGTAGCGAATGAAGAAATAATTCTACACCCCCAATCCTTCTGGCTGGGGAATATGAATTCATTAGACTTTGTGTTTACCAGCACTATAGTTGGGTCTAGGAAAGGAATAAACCGTAGCACACGAAGTGTCAGTGAGAGAATAGGGAAGGAAAGCACATTAGAGCGAACTAAAGCGAATTGAGTAAATAATATCTTGTTTTTCCTACTGTTCACTAGTTATTATTTGTAGAAAGTGAGATAGAAACAAATAGTCTCCAATAAATGGCAATTAAATCATTTCTTAGAATTAACGAAAGTAAGCATACAGTGGTGACAAAACGCTCGCATATACACACGACAAAAAATAATTCCCTTTAGTATTTTTCTACTAAAGAAAAACAAAATTAAGAAACATAAAATTATATGGCAGGTCAACGACAGATATAGATTCAAAAATGTTTTGAAAGGTGAATTTATGCATCAGAAGATTATTTACGGTAATAGACATTCAAATGTGTAAATCACACGTTCAAACTTTAATCCAAATAACTTCATCCAGACAACCCGGTGACAATATTTGACCCAAAAGAATAAGCGTGCTTCACAGGCTGAGATAGGAACATATATGTAAGGCGATATTAAAGTGAATGACATTCACACTAAAACCACTCAATCGTCCCATTTTTCAATGAATGCATTAGTATAAAAATCAAAAAATGGAGAATGTTCATGAAAAGATAGGTAGAAAGAGGTGTTGATTCATTTTTCAGTACAGTTATCAATCATTAGCGAAAGATGACCATCAAACTGAGAAAAACATGAAATATTTCTAAGGATTAACATCAATACTAAAGACTGAATCGACTGTAGATGATTGTCAAACAAGTAAAGTATCCAACATCCTAATGGTC